CTGTTAAATAATGCCAAGAGCAGTGTCATATCAAGCTTACAATGTAGCAACACCACTCAAATTAAACCCATTAATGAATAAAAGTCACTGAATAGACAAATCATAAAACTTCGGATCAGTATTTTAAATATGGTATATATATTTTATCATCAGTCATAACTGAGATACCATATCGGGGTCGGCAACGTTTGGCATGCGGCTCGCCAGGGTAAGCACCCTGGGGGCCGGGCCAGCTTTATTTACCTGCTGACGCGGCAGGTTCAGTCAATTGCGGCCCCTACTGGCCGCGGTTCGCCGTTCCGGGCAAATGGGGGCGGCGAGAAGCCACGGCCAGCACATCGCTCACCCGCGCTGCTTCTTGCCACCCCCATTGGCCTGGGACGGCGAACCACGGCCAGTGGGGGCCACGATCGGCCAAACCTGCCACGTCAGCAAGTAAATAAAACTGGCCTGGCCCACCAGGGTGCTTACCCTGGTGAGCCGCGTGCCGAACGTTGGCGACCCCAGTACCATATGAACATTTTGTTATATAGTGAAGCACCTAGTTTTCCAGTATCTAGCCAGTATAGGGGTTTGGATGGGTTGGGGGGATGGAAATTATTCCAGGCAAGATACAGGTAATGATAGTAGGGCAATGAAATAACAAGGTAGTATCAATGGCCAGAATTCACCCCTTCAGTCTGCATTTATATGGATATTTGCTATGCACACACCCCTCTCCCAGTATGGTCCTTCAAGCCATTAACAATGCCTTTGTTACATCCGGCTTGGATAATTGTAATGTATTCTATATGAGGTTACCCTGAAAGGCTGCTCTGAAGCTACAGCTAGTGCAAAATGCAACTACCCTTTATTTAGTGGTGTTGGTGTGACGTTGCATTCCATATGTTTTTATGAAAATATACTAATGAGTGTGAATTTAATGTAACTGGAATATGCTTCATGCAAAAGGTCTCTTGTAAGGTATCATTACAGAGTTTATAATCTACTGAGTGTGGTTATCCTATTTGTATAAATGTATCATTCTCGTATCTGAAACTAGAAATATGAAATATAACTCTGAGGTCCAATTGTAATTATGCGAAGTGTGGGCCGTTAATGGTGGTTTGGAATCTTGATGGTTCCCATTAACCAGGACAATTGACTGTAGATGGCTCTGTTTACTTGCAAGCCTTCCTGTGAGTCAGGCCGGGAAGAATGAAGGGTCTCACGGGACATGTCACCTGGTACTGGAATCCATCTTAAACCTGGGGCTTTTCCATTTAGAAGGAAAGGTGGGGATCCAAAGAGACAAAAGATTCCCACCTTGTGCCCAAGCTATATAAGGGGGTGGAACAGAACAAAGGGGGCTGCAGTCATGAGAAATCGCCTAGCTACACAAGGACTGGGCCCAGACTAGAAAGTAGTGTAGTCTGTGAAAGAAGCTTATTGGAACATCTCTGAGGGTGAGATTTTATCTGTAATAAGTTTCTTAATGTATTAGGCTTAGACTTGCATGTTTTATTTTATTTTGCTTGGTAACTTATTTTGTTCTATCTGTTATTACTTGGAACCATTTAAATCCTACTATTTATACTTAATAACATCATTTTTGCTTATTAATTAAACCAAGGCAAATAATTAATACGTTGGGGAACAAACAGCTGTGCATATATCTCTATCAGTGTTATAGAGGGCGAACAATTTATGAGTTTACCCTGTATAAGCTTTATACAGAATAAAACACATTTATTTGGAGTTTTGATCCCATTGGGAACTGGGTATCTGGGTGCTGGAGACAGGAGAACTTCTTAAGCTGTTTTCAGTTAAGCCTGCAGCTTTTGGGGGACATAGTTCAGACCTGGTTCTGTGTTTGCAGCAGGTTCACCAAGACAAGTTCCTAAATCCCAAGCTGGCAGGGAAAACTGGCTCTGAGGTAGTCTCAGCACATGAGGTGGCAGTTTACAAGGAGGGTTCTGTAACCCAACCCCTCACTGTTGGCCTCAGAGAGTACATTACACTTTCTTTCAGAGATCTATATTGGCTTGTTCTTCACTTCCATGTGAACTTCATGCTGTTTTTAGTGATTTAGAAAGACCTATAGGATAGTGTTTAAATCCTGGATACCTATAAGATTACCTATCATGAACGCTGGATCACGACTCATTTACGTATTTTGAACAGCATGAAATATTGTTGATATTAAATCATTATTAGTAATAAATATTCTGATAGGTCACACTAGGTAAGAAACACATGCTGGACGCTGTCAGCATGCAGAACTTGCATTTACATCAATAGATTTTCTGTGAGCCAAATAAATACAGACTAGAGCTAAAAGTCTTTATATTTCAGATCCCCAGTAAACTTTTTTCAAATTAAACTTGTGTTTCTACTGGAGAAGGCTGGGAAGCTCTAGCCTAAGTAATACTTTTCCTAGGTTCAGGCTCAGCAATTAAACTACATGTAATAGACAGAATGTGTACACTTATGGTATAAAAAACAATGTTCAACACTTTAGTGGAGGAACAACTTTCAGTCAGCTTTGAATTTAACATTTCACCCCAATGACAAAACATTCCTTTTTTCCGACAAGAGACCACATTTCAGAAAATTGACTTGTTACTCAAATTGACACCAAGGAAAATACTTTAATTTGCCATCAGGCAAGGTGTCGCCTGGGACTGGAACACTGAGCCCTTAGAGTGTAAAATTAAAAGATGGATTCTGATGCAGGCCTAAAGGATACATGAACAAACAAATCCCTTCCTTTGGGGGAACCAAACAAATATCCACATCCTTGCCAGAGATGTGGGGGGAAATAATTGGGTGAAAATAGTGAATTCTATATCGTAGTTACCCACTTCCTCTCTTCCACTCCCCACAATCCCTTCTGAATGGATTACTAAGGTATCCCAAAATTGTCCAGTTTGAACTTAATTAAAACCTACATCTACAAGATAACCAATATTTTGCTAACCCCTGGGATGGTCACTTAAAATTAGTTTCATTCCCTATCCACGGGTGAGTTATTTATAAACCACAATCACAAACAAGTAAATACAAGAGACTCTCTGCTGGTGTAACTCCACTGACATCAACGGAATTATGCCAGCAGACAATTTGGCCCATGTATGTTACAGAAAGGGGAAGGTGCCCTAGTGAAAAGATACTATAGGGTCATTCTGGTAGCTTGGTCACAGGAACTAGTTTAAGATTAATGTTGTTTCATTATTTTATAACTCTCTTGGCATTCCTCTGTATTTATTTCTGTGGACAGCTTTGTAAGTTTAATTTGGGGGAACACAGCATAGATTTTCTTTAGGTAGATCCAGGAAGCTACCACTCTCACTTTTTAAATCTTGTGCTATATCTCAAATGGCACAAACAAACCTGGCAAGGTGAAACCTTCTACCACTTACAGGAAATACACCGTCTTCTTCCTATTGCATAAACCTGCTCCATGTGTCAAGAAATGTATATGCATTTTTCTAAGAGTGTCTGTATCCCCTTCTGTGCTCAATCCACAGAGAACGAGAGCCTGTTACATGCCCCAGCTGTAGCGCCTGCCCCTTTAGCTCAAGCTGCAGGTACTTTCTGCTCTGGAAGTCCTGAGTTCAGCCCCTCTTGTTGACAAAAGATGGAGAGAGGCCATTACATGTACTGAGGTTTATACTGCACTCAAAGCAGAAAGTGTCAACCTTGGATTACCATAGTTTTGCACTACACCAGATTGTCTATTTAAAAATGACATATTTTTACTCAACAAATCTGTACCCTGTGTGTTTTCAGAGTCACGTGTACTTAACTTAATGACAAAAATAAGAGTTCACGGCTTTTCACCCTGTAGAGCCAAAACAGCTAAGAGAGACTGATCTGGATTCTATTCATTCTTGTGAGAGTCATCAACAGATTTATTTATGAAGTTCCAATTAGTCACACCTGTGCAAACCAACTGAGAGCAATGTTTTTGCATAAGCATTGCTGAGGATATAATTTGAAGACAATGGTGGTAGGGGGTTGTACTGCTGTAATTGAGGGTATAATTTAGCCAAAAAAACCCTTTGTTACTGGTGATGCTGAGTGTGTAAAGGAAAATACTCTGCTTTATTTTCAGATCCCAAGTTCAGTCTGCAGGGTTGGCAGTTAGAAAAAATATATTTGTACTTGAAAACTGAGCACATTTAGATCTTGAAATCATTTGGAGGCAATAAATATAGAGCTCCATAATGTCATTTGTAGAGTTAATTTTCAGAGTATAAGCACACATACATTAAGAGAGTCTGCCCTGTGGTACTGAAAATGAAAACAAATCCTCAATTTGCATATTATTTAGAAGTGACAAAAAAGAAATTCAACTAAAATTTATTCTTAGGTAGGGAATAGGGAAGAAGAGAGAAAAAGAGGCTAATATGTTAATGATTAGTCCATTTGAAACAATCTTCTCCCAGTTTACCAAAAATGAGCTGCTATATCCAAAGTACATTCTGAAAACATTTGGGGGTAAATGATGAAGACAATTTTTTTTATCTGTATAATTTTTCTTCTATTTTGGTTAACAAGCTCAGTTTACTCTCTAGGTAGTACAACCTCTATAATCTTGGTAGCAATTTCATTAAAACACAAGGAAGCAGATATTTTGTCTTTTAATAGAGGTCTGATTGTAACTTGCTTTGCAAATTCCACAACTATTGCTCCACAAGACAGTAATGATATAAACAACCTCTAAGATCTTTGTAAACCAAAACGATAATTACCAAATGCAAACTGCACTTGTGATTTAATTAAGGTTAACATATTTGGGGTGTTATTTTATTCACACTGACAATTATTTAAAAAAAACATGTAAGTTACAAGTGAGAAACCTATTGAAATACAGGGGGAAATATCTTTTCTACTTAATTGTCGCCAGTGTTTTATATCAGAATAAGATTTGCCTATTTATAATTAATGGAAGTATAACCCTTTTTTGAAAACAGACAAGAAATCCACAGTTTTTCAGAGAAATAAAAGAGGCAAAGTAACAAAAATATTTTTATTAATTTGCATTAGAGAAGGAATACAGAAAGAAGACTGTAAAAATAAATTAGTTATATAAGAATGACTCACATTCACAGAAGTGTCCCACAAACAAAATGACACCCAAGACAGAAAGATATACAAAGATTGACAAAACTTGGATAGTAAAGCAATATATGGGATGTTGGCACTATTATGAACATTCTCACAGGTGATTTTTCTGCCCTCGGAGCTATAATCCCTTGCTTTATTTCCAGAATAGGAAAAAAAGAGAAGAGAATGTATATTTTCAGAAAAACATGTCAATAGAAAAAGAATTATTATTTACATGCTAGCTCATCATTCAGGTCTATTATTGAGTGTGGGAGTAAAAAAACCTGGACCATGGACTAATGGGATACCTTAGTTTGTTTCATTCTTAATTTAGGTAGCAATAACATGAATTTGGAAATTCACAAGTTGGGGTTTTGTTTCGTTTTGTTGGTTTTTTACAGTATTAACTAATTAGTTTAGTGTTTCATGTACAGTGTTATCTTGAGTAGAAAATTTAAAAAAATGTATAAACAATTTAAACATTTAACACTGATGTAAAGGTGAATCAACCTGTTATAAACTAATTTCCTTACTTGCCAAATTACATGGGTGAGGGATGAAGAAATAAAATGCAAACATGGTAATCAACATGGTGACATACTAAATCATTTCCCAACAATTTTCAATAGCTCTACAACTATACCTTTTTCTATACTCATGGCCCCATCTTAGTTGATGATTTTTCACAATGTATTTCATGGCTTCCATCCCTACATGAGACTTTATTACTATCACATAGGAATAAAAAGCCATAAAACACTAGAGTGAATTTATCTTGATCAGATGCAATACTTATTTTCTTCACATGATTTCACAACCATTTCAAAACTAACCAATAATTTCATGCTACATTACTGAACATTTTAAACTACATTTCAATGACAAGAAACACACTGAAATTGTTACATCACAAATTAACAGAACTTTAGCCTTTAAAGACATTCCTACCTACAAAGATCAGGAAACAATCACAACACAAAACCAATTAAGTCACTGAAAAAGACAGGACGCCACAGAAAAAGATCACTTCCACATACATCTTTAAACACAGACGGAAAGACAAGAGACAAGAGAAGCACTGGCACAAATCAAAACTATGAGAAACACTACCAGAATCCCTTGTTTAAAAAAATCCTTTCCCAAGTAGCTTCCTGGCATGACCATCACAAGGATGGACTTTGCATTGCAAAGAATTCAGACACCAGCACCATGGAATCACTAGACATCTGAGCTTAATTGGGGAAAAAAAGCAATTTTCCCCATTATGGCACTTTACAGGCACAATCACAGGGCCAGTAATGTGGCAAACTGATCTCTATAACTTGTACATCCTGCCTATGATAAATGTACTAGGCAGCCAATGCTCATATTTCTACTGATCAAATACTGAATAAGACAAATTATAATGTACTATTATATTCTAAACCAGACTGATTCTCAAGGTCCTGGGCTGAATACCATTAGTTATTAATGTAATTACTATTCATCTTCTGATTATCTTATTACTACTATTACTACTAATTGGCCAAGTTGAAACACAAGTCTCTAGGGTCATAGAAATGTCAATACAATAATTTAACTGCCTTTCATGGCCTTTTGAAAATAATTTTGCTTGTACACTTACAAGCATACTAAGCAATATCCAAAGTGTCTGAAAAGGCTAAAAGTATATACTTTAACTAAAATATTTTACATTAACCCAATTAAAGTAACACAAATATTAATTTTTATTTACAGTTTACATTAGACCTAAAAATTAACTCGGTTTTATTTATATACTCCTATCCTTGCTTGACTATGAAATCCTATTTCTTGGATAGTACAATGTGGATAGCACAGGAAAGAGCAGGAAATTATTAAATGAAAGGAAGTGCATAAATAAATTCAATTATCATGCATAAAACATGCAAATGATTTAAAGACTGCATATGAAACTCTATTTTATATTCATCAATCTCAGGTTGCACTTTTGAGGGAGAAAGAGATGCTAATTGGGTCCAGATTAATGCACTCCCAACCTTTCCATTTGTTTTTAGGTGAGGGTTAAATGAGATGTATTAAAATAAACACAGCTGCTCATCTCCCTCTCTCTCTCTTTCTCTCTTTTGTTGGAGAGCGAGAGCGAGAGAGAGAACTAAACAACATACTGCAGGTTTTCCGGTATGGTGAGATCTGCCTTTCCTAGGCTCCTCATAACTGCATATCTCATACCTACCACAGCTCTCTAGCTCCAATGTTTTTCCAAAGAACATAACGTTGTGCTGAAAATGAGTACAAAAATGAAGTGTAATAATTGTCTTTGGAGAGTAGGGAAGGAGGTATTTGTGCCTAAGTAGGCTCTGTCCTTACCCTCCCCTGACTAACTGTGATGAACTGTTTTAAATTGCGTGCAGTCACTTTAAAAAAGATTAATTCTAAGTTGGCATGGTGATATGTGGCTCAGTTATGTGGGAAACATGGAATCATGAGAGGACTTGAGCTGTTTTGTTTTGCTCACCCAGCCAGCAGAAACTCGGCACATAACAGAAGTAATACTCTTAGCGAAAGTTCACTCTCAGTTCCTTTGACAAATTTCTCCTCCCCTCCTTCCCCCCGCACCACAAAATCCACCTTGGAAAGAACATTCTCTCTGTGTTTTTTGTTTTTGTTTTTCCTTTTCTCCCTTTTCTAATATAAGGTATTGTTTTTCTCAGTTGTAGACCCTGGTTGGCTGATAGCCTGAAGTGAGAAGAGGCAAGAGGTAAAGGGACAGATTTAATGGGGTAAAAGCAGTGCCTGCAATAACAACAGAAAGGAAAGATGTGTACCTGGGGCTGATTCTATCTTGAAAGAAGGAAGGAGGGATTGGAAGTGGACTTGGCCTAGAATTGTATATCAGAGGAAGGACCCACTTTGATTGTGTAACAGAAGAAGGTAAAAATAAAGCAAACAATAAAGATCATCAAACTAATTTCACACTGAAACTGATTAATTTGGATCATAGGCCCAAAGGGGAAAGGTTAATATATTGTCAATTAAATATTTCTCTTCCCTTTGCTTAATATTATTGAAAATTAAGATTTTTTGGGGAAGGGGGCGTGTAAAAAAATCTCTTCACGTTCCTTTAAACTGCTTTGTAAAAAAATCTCTTTTTCCAAACTATAAAAATTACAGGGAGAAGACAACAAAAATACATATACATAGAATTGAACATATAGTCACATATATGGTTTCAGACACACACACTTTTATTAAGTGTCTCACACACTGATAACCTCTTTATTAAAATTAATTTGTGCATGATTGCACGTGTCAATTAGTTGTAATAAATAACAACAATGAGGCTGATATTCAATCTGTCAAATAATCTGATAAATTCTCAGAGAGCTATTTACTTAGGAAATATGCTTATGATATTCCTTGCTCCTAAAAGAGAAAATGATTATACAGTAACTAAACCCTAAGTAAGATCTAAAGATATTCACCTCATGAAGCCATTTCTCAACTAGCCCCTTGGCACTTGCTGGAATTATTCGCAGCACGAGCTCTACTTTTTCATTTTCTGCTGACTCCATGTGAGTAATTTCTTTCTCATGATTAAAAGTGAGCTTGGCAATTCCTTCAAAGCATTTCTTCAGGTGTGGTTGGTCTCGGAGTGGATCCTTTGTCTCAGAAAGGATTTCTAAGAGCTCATCATTGCACAGAAAGAAAAAAACCTAAAGGTGATAAAAAATGAACTTTATAGATATTTATATAAACACATTTTATACCAATGCCCACAGCCAACAGATGAAATGGACTGTTTACCTTAGAAAGAATAGTCTTTTCTTCTCCAAATAATCATTCAGGCCTTTCTGAATGTCATCCAAAAGCGATTCTGCCTCCTTCAACTTATCCAGCATCTGGGGCTGTGAGATAACCCTCATGCCATTGGCCTCCTTCACTGACTCCTTCATTATTAGCCTCCTGGTGGGTGAGATAGAATACAGTGAATGTAATAACCATACTTCACACAACAGGCTCTCTCTCTCTTTTAAATTGAAAATCCCCTTATTACAAAACAAGGGGTGTTCTTTTTCTTCTACCTTTAAGTAGGACTGCCACATTCATTGCTTTTTACAAAAACGCAGCTGCTTTTTAAGCTACAGATAAATAGAATCTGCTAGGCGGTAATTCCACTCAGTCTGAATGCATTATTTTCTAAGACACTTTGGTGAGGGACTTTTTATTATAAAATTGGAATGAACAAGGAAAGTCCTTTTCTCATCTAATTATGACTGTGCTTTGTTCTGTACTATTAACCTACAATGCCAGATTGATCTGCTATTTTTTTGCTTCAGCCAGTTCAATAAATCAACATGTTTTTCTGGCAAATTACAGAGCTAATTATTAAGACTTCATGGACTAATGATAAAAATAGAAATAACATAAGACAATAGAGAATGCTGTATCAACAACAAAGCTAGACAACACATCAATCCTTTGCTGTGCACAGTGCAAATCTCATGTTTTAGCATCACTGATTAGTATAGATGGATGCTATTTGAACACAATCTACAGAATTTTCTTTCAATAAAATATTGATCCACTATGTATATTCTTCTCTGGACTGAAGAAAAAAGGTAAAACTGAACTGCATTATTTTGCATATATATATGATTGTCCATCATTTTATCGCTGCTGCCACCATCACATTTCACTATTGTAAATCAGGAACCAAAAAAATAAAATCAGCTCCAGGAATATACTAAAATAAATTAAAATCAAGACTACTTATATTGCTTTTTGCCTTAAGAATATATTTATATAATTTTGGATTTATAACAATATTATGAAAATATATTCATTGAATTTAAAGAATGGCTTAGTTTTGAAAGAAAAGTTTGTTATTTCCAAATAATGCCCTTAAATAGGCCATGACCCAAGGCTCCTGAAACCTAATTGATCCAGAACGTTTTACTTTGACAAATTAAAAATATATAACAGCATTTCAACTGCACAAAAATAAATTCTACTCTAGTACTGGAAATAAGTCAAAGCTGCCGCTACACAAACACCTCCAATAAATGAAATTTACAGATTTAGACATCACCGCAAGTTTTCTTTTATGCAATAGACACTGTCAACAACTGACAAAATGTGATGAACTGTGTGAAAATGAATGAGAAATTCTTTCTACTTATTAGTGTAAGTTTATTTTCAATACTTATGAGGTTGAAAACTTTCAGAGTGGTAGGAAAAGCTCAAAGACCCCTCAGAACTGTACCTGCACAACATTCCCGGTTATAAACATAAAAACAAGTTTGATAACACACATGTGCAGTAAAAGAAAACTCATATTGTGACAGTCTTAAAATCTTATATGCACTCAAAATAATGCCACCCCGATGTATTACAATTTAAAATATTATGAGAGGGATCATAATAAATAACTGAGATGTTGCCTACATTTTTCAAAGCATATATTGCAAGACGATCTATAAATACAGCCAACAGTGGGACCTTACTTTGAGATTCTAAAGCTTGCTACTGCCATAAGGCATTTCTCAGTGTTCTGATATTCTTGGCAAACAATGGGTCCTTTAGGTTGCTGGTCTCAGTATCAGAAGGCAAATCTAATGCTGTAGTACCAAGAGAAGCCTAATTTGCTCAGAATAAAGAATAGCAAAGCCTTTCCATGAAGAAATAAACCTAAGTGTATTACAGAAGCTTCAAAACGGTGAGATTAAACAAACACCTCAACATAAAAATCAATTTAGCTGACTGCACTGAGCAAATATTATCTTAAATGAGGAAGACATTCAGTTGTATTTGTTTTTTAAAAGTTTCAGGTTAGTACCAATTAGTTTAGGGTGGTAAAATACATTTACTGTGTGTGTGTGCGCGCGCGCGCGCGCACACGTTTGTGTGTACACACATATATAACTGTATTTGTTGTTATATTTGTAGCAAGGATATTCACCACAGAGTCTAGATTTAGATGAGATAAACTTTGCAGTGAAAAGAAAAAATAAGATGCCACTGTGTAATCTTGTTTCCTTACAAAATAATTTTGGACTATCCATGTACCCAGCCTTCTTTTCTTGGACAGGAAATCAAGGCCGTAAAACAATTACCATGGAAAGGAGAAAGTTTTACTCAACGGCGGCCGTTATTTTGTTTAAACTACTTTCAAAATTTAAGAATCAGTGTGAGTGGACTATTCTCATCATGTTTTCTGACTGTTTTCCAGAGTAATTTGGAAATATGACTGTCCTACAGATTAAAATATACTTCACATATCTCTACTATTGCAAACATCAGTACTATGCAAGCAATTGGATTAAAAATAAGATGTAAAATCTCCATTTTTTCCACAAAGCCTCAGCTAAGCTATAGAGAATGAACTGGTTAGGCTATACTCTACATTAGTCCAGACTAAGCCCTATTTAGTAGAAATTGACAGATGCCAAAACATCCAGTGCTCATTGCAGTGATAGTTTTTAGATATTGACCACAGTTTACTAGATTCCATTTTGAGACCATTAAACATATGTTATTGGACATAAAAACATAGTAAGATTTGACTTGCGGTTATAATGGTGAAATATGAATACTCAGTCTCTCTCCCTCTCTTTTGACATGTCAAAAGAGGCTTCAAAACACAATTGATTATTAATCATGTTTATTAAGGCAGTGCTTCAGGGCCAACCAAGAATGAGGTCCCATTGTGCAAGGCACTGTACAAACACAGCGCAACAGATAGTCCCGGCCCCAGAGAGCTTACTATCTAAATAGACAAGACACAGGGGAAAAGGGGATAACACACAAGGAGAGTGAACTATGTGATGCCAGCAAAAGATTCGTTATAGTGAAGAAAAGTTTAGGGCAAGGGTTTTTTTTTGTTTGTTTTTTAATTTAAGAAAATATTTAATCTGAAATGCTTTAGAAAAATCATGTTCCCCATGAAAAATACACACTTTTCCTTATAGTAACTTCATATTTTTTCTTCAAACTTTTACTTGATATTCTTATTTTTTTAAGTTATCTTGTTTGCAAAAAAGGGAAGTAAATTAAACAATTGGACATGCAAAATATTTTCTTACAAATCAAGAATGCTTTATAATACTATTCTACTCTTCTATATTGCCTTCCAACTGAGGATCTCAAACCATTTCAAAAATATTAAATAAGTAAGCCTTACTACATCCCTTTGAGGCATGGGAGCATTATAATAATAAAAACAGTAATAAGAGTAATACTAACAGTAATGATAATAATAACTATATACATCAGTAAAAGTATGATACCTGTTTTTACTGATGGAAATACCATGGCACAGAATGACTAAATGACTTAACTAAGACACACAACCACAGACCTAGATACAAAACACGGATTTCCAAATTTCTAGTCCTGTGCTTTATTCAGTAAACCGTGTTTCCCTTCACTTCAAAAAAAAATCACCAAGATCTCCTAAAGCAGTGGCTGTCAGCCTTTCCAGACTACTGTATCCCTTTCAGGAGTCTGATTTGTCTTGCGTACCCCCAAGTTTCACCTCACTTATAAACTACTTGCTTACAAAATCAGACATAAAATACAAAAGTGCTATTACTATTACTGAAAAAATGCTTACTGTCTCATTTTTACCATATAATTATAAAATAAATCAATTGGAATATAAATATTGTACTTATATTTCAATGTATAGTATATAGAGCAGTATAAACAAGTCATTGTATGAAATTTTAGTTTGTACTGACTAAAATATCTTACAGTTTTAGGTAACTTTTTAGGTTGAACCATTTCAGCTTGTCCTTTGCTTTATTGAGAGAATATGCCTTATTTCTCTACGGCAGACAAAAAGGGAGAGAATGCATATGTCCCCTAGTAAAAAGCTAGTGCTTTTTATGTTGCCTGTTGTAAAACCAGGCAAATTTCTAGATGAGCTGATGTATCTCATGGAAGACCTCTGCGTACCCCCCGAGGGGTTTACTAAACCACTGTCCTAAAGAATGCCTCAGAAAAAATCATGGTATAAAGTTTAGAAAACTACTGTTCTATACTATGAACTAGCTATACTTACATTCAAGAGAAATTCTATCATGACTGAAAATTAAGGTAAGAGTAGTAACTGTTTTAGACTGATACAATTAAAGATTAAGCAAAGCTAAGGAGGACCTACTGCAGTAAGGGCCCAGTTCTTTATACCCACTTGCATGCAGAATTTTCATTGAGTCTAAAAAGCAGCTCTGGAAACAGAGGATGTGGAGAGGGAATCAGACCCTAAGTAGCTAACAACAACAAACTTACCAGTTCCTACTGACAACTTCAAAGTGCTTTCCTTCTACTGATATTTGGTTACATGTATCTTGTGAGCAAAGCATGGGTTCCCGGCATCACCAGGGCCTTTTGAACTTGCAGCCAGGTTTCCATAATCTCCTGCATTAGTCGCGCTGGAGACAACAAACATGAAATCTCATTTGTTGCAAGCAATGAGGAATGTACGTGTTCCCTTACCACATCCAATAAATGCCATTTATACCACATATTAAAAATAAAGTGAGCTGTTACCAGATATAAAATCACTCAACACCACTATATTCTTACAAAGTTAAAAGAAAGTGGTCTCAACTTCTGTTTTCTGCTCTACTTTGTGAAGCATAATGAAGAATGGGCCAGCACAGCTGCCTGTTTGTGAGTTTCACTTGGATGATTCACTTACTTACCGGATGACTGTGTCTATTGCATTTGGGCTCACATAATAAAAACTAAAGTGAAATCAATTTAACATAAAGAACTTTATGCTTCCCCCCCCCTTCTTAACATTCTACACAGTGCAAGTAGCACCGCAAACTTTGAAAAGTTTTATATAATGAAAATTACTGAAGCATAAATCACATAGCGTGGTGAAAACTGAGATGTAGCATGGAGATGAAATCTAAAAGCTAATTAAATTCAACAAGAGCCTCTCAAAAGGCAACATACCAGCTTAGCCTCCCATGCTAATATTTCGTTTTTGAAGGGTGCAATAAATGGAGGGACTTTCATGGCTGTAGTTTTCACAATGTGATCCTCCAGCAGAACCTGAGAGGGGAGAAAAAAAGATTAGATGCATGGATTACAGTACTGAATGGATGCCAAGGCCATGATAAAAAGAATAGATAAGTTAGGGCTTCTGAGGAGCTAAATTTGAAGCCAACCAGCAAAACGGATTGAACCTTATTACCTCTAGTCACTGAGAAATTCCCCAGACAGTTGGATGTAATTTGAAAAGGTCAGAAAAAAATTTCCTGCACAGTATTACGGCTTTATGGTTTAAGGGTGTACATTTGTGAGATGCCTGCTCTAATCATTTTTATCGACTTGGTATAGAGAGATAGACTGACATACGAGGAGGCAAGACAGATGGATCAGATAAGACCTACCGTTTGTTTCCTATTCTAAAATATCTTACAGTTTTAGGTAACTTTTTAGGTTGAACCATTTCAGCTTGTCCTTTGCTTTAATGAGAGAATATGCCTTATTTCTCTACGGCAGACAAAAAGGGAGAGACTGCATATGTCCCCTAGACAACCTGCTGTAATTTTTTTTGTATTTGTATTCAGTGAACTCCCTATGAATTGGAAATATACAACTGAAGCCCAGTACGTAGAATAAGATTTTCTGGACAATTTTAGGTAGATTTTATTTTTTTTGGTTTTGCTTTAAGGTGACAGTCCTCCCTGCAAAAGATTATAACAATGACCTTCAACATATTCATAGTACAAGCTTTGTTATCAATATGGCTGTTTTGCAAAAAAAAAAAAAACCCAATCAAAACATTTAATTCTTTGGTTTAGCGTACACAAGAGGCTTGTAATCAATATGAACATTTGCTAACATTACACAGTCCATTTTTCATGCAATTAAAATGACAGGCGATTTAACACCACAAAAGTGGTATTCACCCAAACCCTGAAAAAGTTTTAATTTACATTAGACTTTCTTTCACTAAGAAGTCATTCATCTTCCAGTCATAACACAAACACTATTCACTGTGCACTTGCTTGGCATCCACTGCAGAGACATTTTTAACAGGCTTTAAAGTACGGGCTGTGAGAGTTCATCTACTGTATTATGTTTATGGGACCTGCTTAAAGGCTCACTAAAACTGTTTCCACTTTGATCAGGAAGATATTTCCATATGGCCATATTCCCTCCCCTTAAGCCCAAAACATTCAGAACAACAAGAAATTGCAACTGAGAGTAGCATACATCTTCAGACCAACAAAGCCTTTAAAGCAAGTCAGAAAGGGTTAGTTGTAGCAAGGAATGAAAAGGACTGTGAATTGTTCCGCTAATGGAAGTTGATACTCTCAACTGAACTGGGGCTGTTCCTTAGAGGAAAAGAGATACATGGGTTCCTAAACACAACACTTTCTTCAATAATTTAGGAAGCTTCAAAGGAAGACAAACACTCTTGCATATACTGGAGGAAACAAATCACATACTAGGGTTTAAAACAACTTAATTGGACTCCTCAAATTCAGCCTTAAAACTTAAATTAGTATTTTATTAGCTACTGTTGTCTTCTGGGTCTATGGAATACAATGAGAATCTAATACTTTAACAGGATAGAAGTGTAAAGGCATGGGAGCCCCCCCCAACATTCTTTCTGGGCTACATAATAATAATAATAATATATGGAGATATACCTATCTCATAGAACTGGAAGGGACCCTGAAAGGTCATCAAGTCCAGCCCCCTGCCTTCACTAGCAGGACCAAGTACTGATTTTGCCCCAGATCCCTAAGTGTCCCTCTCAAGGATTGAACTCATAACTCTGGGTGTAGCAGGCCAATGCTCAAACCACTGAGCTAACCCTCCCCCCAACAGTATTTTGATTTTCTCGAACATTATTTTGCAAACAGAAGGACTGGCACAGAAATTAAGTTTCTGTTACTCCCCTGCTTTGAACTCATCCAATGATGAGGTCATCTAGTCTCGAAATTTCTCCACAGGAAAGCTCCTGCATGCTGAAAATTAGGACTATTTAGATATCACAATTTGAGGAGCCAAGTCTCAATTTTTTAAAAGAGTGTCCTGTCTACATATTTTAATGCCATATGCTGGCTGTCCCTACTTGGTTCCCTCTTTGCAAAAGTGGCCGCCTTCTAGCCTGCTACTTCTGGTTCCTGTACATTTGTCTTGACTCCTCCAACAAGCAGGGTTAGTAGCTGTGAAGAACAACAACTTCTAGAGGAGCAATTCCGTGCACTAGATGTATTAAAAGAGCTCAATGGCATTCACTATTTTTAGAATTATTTGTTTTGAGAGCTTTGATACCATCAATAATGAGATACTGACTTGTCTTTGGACTTCATCAGGAGTAAGTTGTGCAGCTCATTTATAGTTTTGTTCTTTTCTTGTTGAGCATTCCCCAGAAGGTGGTGTGGGGCAATTGCTCCTATTCCTGAAAGGGTACTATTATGTGGAGTTGCATACAGTCCCATCTCTTCTATTTCCACAGGTATTTGGCACAAGATAGGCTTATGACATTTTCAGTACACTGACAGCATCCATCTTTCTCTTTCTCAACTGAGCAAGCTAGCCATTGGGAGACATGGATGGAAGCCATCTTGCTGAAGCTTGATCCAGAGAAGACTGAAGTGATGCCATCTATCTAGGTTTTTACATACTTGCCCATTGCCATTGTATCTGAGTGTCCCCATATTCCGAGAAGCAACCAGAAGAAATGGTGAGTGTGAAACTGTGCCTGCCATTTGTGATTCATACTGTGATCCCAGTGTTGAGGGCTGGAAGTTGAACTCAGCAAAGTTCAAACTGGAAATAAGATGCGACTCTTTAACAATGGGCTTAATCCATCACTGGGATAGATTACTAAAATTTGTGGAAGATTTTCGATTAGTTTGATTCTTTAAATCAAGATTGAATTTCTTTATTTTTAAAAGATATGCTCTAATTCCCATGCAGAAATCAGATTGGTCCCTTCTCGTCTTCAAATCTGTGAATCTGGGAGCAAAGTTAGCTCCCCAGATGCTCCCAGATGATCATATAGGATCAGTGGTCAGGCATTCTTTTTTCACCTGTCAGGCCAGGAGATTGCAACCATTTATTTCACATGCCGACCTTGTGCTACTGTGATCTGTGCCTTTGTCTCCTGAAGTCCGGATTACTGAAATGTGCGTTACATGGCACTTCACTTTAAATCAATCCATAAACTTAAAACGGTGGAGGTGGTGAAAGTGAAGGTCTGTTTAGTAGGTCTGTTTAGTGCTTGGCAATCTGCATTCGCCAATTACAGGTTTCCAGATGGAGTTTAAGACATTGGTTTTAACCTATAAAGTCCTAAATGGCTTGGGACCTTCTTATTTGAGGGATTGCCTCTGTCCTTTTGATCAGTACAGATGCCTGAGCTGGATCTATCTTGATTACAGCGTCCTCCATGAGAGACCTGTGGCTTGGAACCAACTTCTTCCACTGCTCTAGCCCAGTCAAATGTTGTTCACCTGCATGGCTCACTACAAAGAATATCCACTTACTCTGCATGTAGAGACAGGGGGCTGAGGGTTATGTGCAGGTGGAGAATCTTTGTTGAGAGTTGACTCTAATGATCAGGGTTTGCTGTTAGGTGCTAGTTTTATTTTTGTCTCTTGTTAAAATCCTATAGATGGAAATAAATAAATGGCAAACCTTTTCAAAATAAAATGAAAAATGCTCAAGGAAAGCACAGAAGAGACATGCAACTCTGGGTATTATACTGGGGATAGCTCAACCAGACTTGATGCCTTCAAAATATGTCCATTCAAATATTCACCATCACCAAACCATTCTATTTTAAAAATCACTCTGAGAAACACAGCTTTTTGAATCCCTTGTTATTTTTTATCCGTGAGAGTTGACTGCTCTGAAAAAAGTTATCATTCACTAGTTAGTTGTAATGTTTATGTTTTAAACAGCAACTCACTCTTAAAAATAAATTACATCTTCCTAAAGACAGATAATAAAAGTAGTTAGTAAAAGCTGGTGGACTTATTGTGTATAAAAATTTCATTTTACCAAATCTCTCATGTAAGCACTGATTCAGCTCAGGCACTGATATCATTAGAATTAACTTCCAACAAATTAGGTTTGGGAACAATGAAATGCAATTAAAATATTGTATGTACTTCAGCGGGAGCTGATAATGTTTCATGCATGTTTAGAGGGGAAAAAAACCGAGAGAAACCTCTCTCTTCCAGTCATTAAAGGAACTAATTAAAGCTCTTCTAACAAGGTAAAATAAGATTTTGTACAGTTTCTTCAGCATTTCAATTTAAGATTCATATGCTTTTATATGCATACCACAGCTGTGAGAACAAGAATTCCTCCATCTATGTAAGATGAAAAACTAAAATAAACACCTTTCCAATCCATTTTCATTTTGTTAAGGATTTTCTCCAAAGCATGTTCTTTACTGGCTTGGGAGTTAAAATGGCTTAAATCTTCCAAATACTTTTCAAGGGCAATCTCTAAAACTTCCTCCAAAGAAGATCCTTCCTGGAGGGTCATGTTGAATCCAACCTAAGTAGTACAAATTGAAACTATAACATCTTAGCATGAAAACAATTGGAACTCTCTTCAATCTAAAAAATAGTTATTACCAAATACAATGGACAGAGAAAAAACTTTAGAGATTCACTGCTTTTCACTGAAAGCAAAGAAACCCCCAAAATGTAAGACCAGAAAAAAGACTAGCTAAGGGAAAAAATCCTATATGGAGATCTGAAGTTTGGCCCTAAATTTGACGAACTAACAGGTAAATCATTTTGCCCATTCATTGTGGGCCATATTTTCAGAGACCTCAACTCAGCCTCTAAATATATGCACCCAAACTTGCACAATTATTTACACACGTAAATAATATAGTTTGTGAATGCAAACTGGATGTTCAGCTACCCAGTCTGTGTGCCTCTATCTCGATTGTATGTCTAAATTCTATTTGCCTATGCAAGTGAATGTGAATAATGGCAGATGAACATTTAGAGGCCATTTAAAAATTATCTCTCGGGGCTATGGGTTTGCATCTTCACCATGTGAAAAAA